TTAGAGACACAGACAGGAGGACGTTAGAGACACAGACAGGTGGACGTTAGAGACACAGACAGGAGGACGTTAGAGACACAGACAGGTGGACGTTAGAGACACAGACAGGTGGACATTAGAGACACAGACAGGTGGACGTTAGACACAGACAGGTGGACATTAGAGACACAGACAGGAGGACGTTAGAGACACAGACAGGTGGACGTTAGACAACAGAAACCACTCTGCAGTTTATCAGTTTTTTAAAATAACTCATCAGCACAGTACTGACTGTGGGTGTAGAACTGGGTGAACTGGTACTGACTGTGGGTGTAGAACTGGGTGAACTGGTTCAGGTAGGAGCAGAGTTCAGATGGAAAATGTTTTGTGGGTTCGTCCAGGAAGCAGAGTGAGGACACGGGCCAGCAGCGTGGAGACAGAACCAGAACCTGAACCTCCGCCTCCTCCTCTGACTCCACCCATTCCTCCTCCATCATCTACGGCAACAACAACAGGACAAACGGATCAAACTCAGACCTGTGAACCAGACTTTCAGCAGGATTTAAATTCAAACTGATTTTATTCTCAGATGAACTCGGCGAGGTGTCGTGGGTTTTTCAGACCTGGTCGTGCTCTTGCAGGCATCGGTCCAGCTGCTGCAGGCGGTACAGGTGGAACTCTTGCTGCAGCTCAGCGGACTCACTCAGGTTCTTCAACATCTGCTGAGGGAAGCGACTCGGGAAGCAGCTGCCAATCTGATCGATGACAGCGCTCTCCAACCACACGTTACCCTGAGCCAGCAGCCGGTCACCCAGGTAGTACCTGCAGAGACAGAGAGGCAGTGGTGAGCTGGGTCCACGCCGCCTGTCATCAGTCTGCTGTGTCGGTGTCGTGGCGTTCAGACCTGTAAAAGTGTTCGAAGGTGTTGGCAAGCTCCAGGCCCGATAGGAAGAGCATCGGCTCCAGAAACTGCTGCAGCCGCTCCAGAGTCTCCACGCTGCTGGACGCCGCTCCGCTCGTCTGGATCATCTGGTCGATGTACTGAGCGAAGCGCTCACTCACCTGCACGACACACATCACAGCATACAGGACAGAGTATTTTCATTTCTGATTTATTTTCTCAGTGAATCGTTTCGTCTTTAAATGACTTTGACGGTGACGACTAAAAAAGTTCTCAGTTATCGAGCTCTAAAAATGTTACCAAACGATGTACCGATGTGTTTCAGCAAATATTGAAGTATTAAAGGGTCTCAGGGAAATATCTGTGGTGTCACATGCTCAGTGTAAATGGTCACATGACCAGAGCTGTTTACTTCCTGGTTGCACCATGAGAAGAGCTCGGCTGCGTCAAAGCTTCAAACAGAAGGTCAGTGAAGTTTGTAACATGAAGACAGAGGTCTCTGGAACACGTCATCTCTCAGGTGTCTGCTGTTGAATCAGCTTTGTTCAGTGACGTCACAGAGTTAGTGAACATGCTGAAGATGAATCTAAATGTACTTCCACACACACATAGTTCTTATTCTGCTAAACCTTCTGCTCCTCTGTTTCAGTTTCACTCTGAGTGAAGTTTTCATATGTGTGATCTTGGTGAGACGAGACGTACAACCTCACAGTCGTCCCTCAAAATCAAACAGATGCTTTCCTCAGTGATGGTGACGGGTCAGATAGAGACTCTGAGGGAAAGACGGCCCGTTGATTTCATGTGCTGAACTTATACAAACACATCATGACAGAAACAACTTTATCAGAGATGACGACCTCCCCCTCCAACCTGTTCTCATTCTGTCTTCAAATACCGCCGCTTTGTCAAGGATTTCTGACGCCAAAAGACACCTTTCGTAGCAGAATGATTCACGGACAGGCACAGAGTTTTAACTGCTTAAATAAATGAGCTGAGATATTTGTTTGATGACTGAATGAGATTATATTCATTTGGTCAATAAATGGTCCAACACATTATCCCCCCATAAAACACTAAGGGTCATCAGTGACAGACGATTTGGAGAGTTGTATGTATGTTTAGGCTTAAACAGGTTAAACATCCAAAAACTAAACATATTCAGTTTATGATCACATGAGACAAATTAAAGGTGTAAATCTTCACATCTGAGAGGAGGGAAGCAGGAAGTCTGAGGAAGTTAAGCTTAATATGAACCATAATCAAACCAGCTGAAGATTAGTTGTTTATATTCAGGATGAGCTCACTGAGTTTAGGTCGTCTTAACTCTTCAGAGCGTTAATAAACCAGGTTTAAACTTTTAAAGGTCTAAAAGTATCTGAGCCTGGTGTCAGTCTGAGTTAAACCAGAGTTAATCCTGACTTACGTGCATGGTCTTGAGGATGGAGAGCTGCAGCAGGGCAGCAGAGAAGCCGTGTCGGAGGGCGAGGACAAAGGCGGTCTGCTGTCCGAACAGCTCCTCCATGGCGTTCTTCAGCCGCAGGTACAGAGTCCGGTAACGCTCCACAAAGTCCGGCAGACTGCAGCTTGACTCCAAAAACTTCTTCACCTGAGGGGGGCGGAGTCAAGTTCAAGTCTGAGGAGCAGAAATGTCTGACCCAACAGAGCAACTGTAAGGCTGTTAGAAATCACCTGTCGCTGTACCACTCCCTGCCAACAGAGGGCGATGCCTGCAATGCTGCTGCTGCTCTTCACTTTAGGCTTGGCTGAGGAGGAGGATGACGACGAAGAGGCGGCAGCGGTGTCTTTGTTTTTACCCTCCTTCCCGTCTGAAAGACAAAGGTTAAAAGGTTTACCTCCTGCAGGACGCCAGCGGTCGTTGAGTGAAATCATAAAAATGAAATGATAAACTGCAGCCAGAAACGTAAAGAGAAAGCAGAGCCTCTGTTCTGTCCTTCTTTTCCATCTGAAAAGAAACCACGTCAGTGTCTCTACTCAACATGGGAACAGGAAGTCAGCCGTCAAAATAAGAGCAGTCCAAACTGAAAGAAAAAGATGGAGTGTAAACGCATCCTGATGACGTCAGCTTTAATGTTTGAGTTCAGACAAGGACAAGGAAGAGTCGGCCGGCGCCCCCTGCTGGACCGCCTCATCATCATCAGGTTTAGTGTCATGCACACACGCTATTCACACCATCCTGCTGACACTAACACTCACTACAGCACAGAGTGTGGATTAATGCGCTGCTGAAAATAGTCCCAAAACAAACAGTCACAATTTCCTGTTTGTTAGAATAAAAACTGTGACAGGTCAAACTAACACAGCTGGAGTTCATGTCTGTTAAAAAATATTCTCTTAATTATGTAATTAATTCATTTAACGCTTTGAACTCTGCGATACAAACGGTCATCCAGTGCCTGCGTTGGTATTTCTGCTTATTGTGATGTCACTTCCTGAAGTTTCTTCAAACACTTCACCTCCCTGACGTCAGTACAACCTGAGCTGACAGGTTCTGGAAGTCATTAAACCAGAATCACTCATAAAAATCATAGTTTTTGAGATAAGATCAATTTAATGAGCAGAAAAAAGGCACTGTGATGGATTCATCACTCATTTCTCTGGCGCCATCACACGTAACGTTGCACAATGACATCATTACGAGCGTACAGCCTGATGGCGTGAAGACAGTAGCTTTAGCCTTCAGCTACAAAAAGAATCAAGGTTAGGTAGCATAACAGGTAAGGTAACAGGTAAGGTAACGTAACAGGTAAGGTAACGTAACAGGTTAGGTGGTGTAACAGGTAAGGTAACGTAACAGGTAAGGTGGCGTAACAGGTTAGGTGGCGTAACAGGTAAGGTAACGTAACAGGTAAGGTAACGTAACAGGTTAGGTGGCGTAACAGGTTAGGTGGCGTAACAGGTAAGGTAACGTAACAGGTAAGGT